ATTTGCTGATGTGGATAACTCTAAGATTAACAATTTCATTTGGGTTACTTNCACCGTTTGAACATACTTTATATAATCCGAATTAATCCTATAATTTCATTTCATGTTTTAGAGACCTAACATTTAATCTGATTCATTCACTAAAGAATTCGCGTCCAATGGAGGCAATTGGGTTGAGATATTTGTGAGAGCTGAATACTGTAATTAAACTTAGCAAATATAATACATACCCCACTCAAAAATTAATACGATTAGAAATCTGGTGTAACACTTTTAAATATACATTCTTTACTACTGAGATGCAATATATAAGTATGATATAGGGTGGTTGACCAGATATCTACTTATAATATGGAGAACTAACTACTTTGCAATGAGAAAAGACATAAAATCATAGCATCGTTGCCAAACGGCGATTAAATTTGTTTATTTATTTTTTTGATACTATCTCATATTAAATATGGATTGGAAGTAGTGACAAAATTTCTGAAAGTCAAAGTGTTAGAAAAAGAGATTCGCTATTGTTACAAAAAATTACTGCTTCGTACTATGTAGACTTCAAGTAAAATTGTACTAATTGCTGTTGGATATGTCTGTAAGAAGTTAATGGCTTATTAATATACCGTGTGTTGCTACAGGCATTGATTTTGTAAATCTAAGATTTAGTACAGGAATTAAGGGAAAGACAATTTATTTTATTAAAATTTTTGATATACTTCCGATTCGGTATACTCATATACTAATTTCTTAATTATTTACGATTTAGGCTGCTTTCAGATAATCTTATTAGCTGGATTGCTGATGGAATGTTTAAAAATTTACCGAAGTTGAAAGAACTGTGAGAATAGTAACTAAATCTCTTTTAAGATATATATTGCGTTTTGGGAGTTTTCCGGTAAGGCTACTGTCGACATTTTTGCATATGTGACAATTTTTTTATACGATCGAGATAACTCACAATATTACCGATTAAAAGTAGTGTAGCAATATTTCAGTTAGAATTTAGGACTATTATCTTATTATAGCTTGTATTTATATTTAAATTAAATTAGTCAAAATTTCACATTGTGGACTCCGTAGATAGACGTAAATTTTCCATCAACGACTATTGCCTACGATATCAAGGCTAAGATACATTAAGAATATTGTATAGTGATAACGATGGTGAGACTCCGAAACTAGCTTATGCCAAACTATTTCGAGTGTCTTACCGCTTATGAATTAAAACGTTATTTTTTACCTGGAATTCCTGAATTCTGAAAATCTCTTGCTATATCAAAGGCCTCGTTCCTCTAGAAGAATGCATTATATTGACTGCGCACGATGAGGCTCAAAATAATTTATCTCGTTAGCTAAAAATTCCAATAAATCTATAAAATGAG